TGATCACCACTTGTAAGAAATTAGAAAAACAATAAAAATAGATATTTTTTTGCAATCACAGGTAGWCTTATTGCTATATTGGTAGTCCATCCATGAATACATGATTTTTGCTGATTTTCTGACCCACCTCCTATTTGCACCAACCCTCCCCCCCTTTTATAGAAGAAAGGCATTGAAAATTGCTAAAAATCATCCCATGCAGTTTTATTTATTCCTGATTTCCAGATTGGTTCAGTTCCAAATGCCTGTAACTTATATATTAGGGACCGATCATTATTTACAGGGAGGGGAGGGGGGCTGGTGAAAATGGTGGGGGAGACCAAACATTTTTGTGCACTAAAAAAGGGGTGACCAAAAAATTGTGTAATAGCAATTAATTAATTGTGTAATAGAGTGCAAACAATATAACCGTGAAACTTTAGTAATACTAAATAGCACAATTTCATGCAAAATCCATTGTTTTCTATTGTGTAATTGCCACAATTTTGTACTATTTAGTAATTAGTGTTTCACGGATTAATTGTTCACTAATATTTGAGTTCTCTATGAAGGGGGACCACATTTCTCATTTCCACCAGCCCCTCCCTGTAAATAATGACCGGTCCTTTACGTCACACATATGACTTGATGACCAGTAGCATGACTAAGTATCTTTTGCAGATATCATCTCATCATCACCTCACAGGGATAAGTAGATTCTTATCAAAAGTGCAATACTGTATTAAGCGATAGACATGTCTAATGATACTGTGCAAGGACTAGCCTTTCCTACCAATAGTAAGGGAGAATACGCAAGACCAGATAGTGTTTTCCGTGAATGGATCAAGGCAGATGGTTCGACTCGATTCCCACCCGACACCAATCGTTATCACCTTTACGTGTCCCTCGCCTGTCCTTGGGCTAGCCGTACTCTGATGGTAAGGAAGCTAAAAGGGCTCGAAAATGTGATTTCTTACACTGTAGTCGATTGGTTGATGCTAGAACAAGGCTGGATATTCACTGACAAGAAGCCCAAATGTAGTCTTGACACTCTAAACAACTGCAAAACTATGAGAGAAGTCTACAAACTTGCTAATCCGAATTACGATGGGCGAATCAGCGTACCCGTGTTATGGGACAAAAAAACTCGTACAATAGTTAATAATGAGTCGAGTGAGATAATTCGCATGCTTAACAGCGAATTTAATGAATTCTGTGCAAGTGAAAGTCAGAAGAAGCTGGACCTGTACCCAAAACATCTTCAACCTCGGATTGATGAACTCAACAGCTGGATCTATCCGTAAGTCATTCCAACACTAGTTTTGATGTGAAACTTSCATGAATCAAAAATATTGTCAATCCAGTACATGCAGGCTATATCTTGTGACCAATAATCCAGCAGGCTTGTGCCTAACAGGCATTTAGGTACTATAGCTAACATATTGCATACAGCGGTTTACATCAGATTGCAAAGCTAATATACCGAATAATTTATTCATTCATCTTCGCATGCAACCRTCAGTCCATTCTTCCATTTATCCTTTTATCCAATTATTGTTCCATGCATCCACCAACCCATTAAACCATCAACCCGCCCATCCATCTATCCATCCACCCATTGTCATCTCTGTCCATGAATCCATCCTCCCTGAGCATCCATCCATCTATATATCCATCCACCCATTGTCATCTCTGTCCATGAATCCATCCTCCTTGCATCCATCCATCCATCTATCCATCCACCCATTGTCATACTAATTTATCCTTGCTTATGTTTTCCAACCCACCCACTTATCCTCACATTATCCATATATACGTTAACAAAATTAAATTGTTGTGTTACGAAGTTAAAATACTGTATATTTACCATTTTTTCAGTTCTATAAACAATGGTGTGTACAAGTGTGGCTTTGCTGTAACACAAGAAGCCTATGATATTGCAGTCAAACAACTATTTGAAGCCCTTGACAAGGTTAGATTTTATGTGTTTATACATGTACATGTATCCTAAACCGTCAGCTGCTGGCTGTAAGAACATGCTTTATAAAAAAACTGATTGAAGCAATTTCAAATTTGTTTGCCATCCAGCAGAGTCTTCCCTAAAGGATCTAATGGGCAAAATTGGTTTGTTTTCAAAATGTTTTATCAGCATGTGATTGTTTGTTGCAAATAGCCTATTAAACATAAAATACCAACTAGAACACACAGACAATGTTATCAATAAAGATTGGATAACCTTTGTGATTATACTCAATCTCTTTCTCTTTCTTTCTTCCACTCTCTTTTAAGGCTGAGGCCATTCTATCCAAGACAAGATACCTGACTGGGTCCACCTTTACAGAAGCAGATATTAGGCTTTTTGTCACCTTGGTTAGATTTGATATGGTCTATGTTGGACACTTTAAGGTAGGAACTAGGCATATCAATAATATTGTTCTTTGAAGGCTTTGATGTATACTTGGTGCTTCTTCATTCAATGGGAATTAATATTTAGCTTTTTGAAACTTTGTTTGCATTTAATGAGAATTAGCATTGTTAATATAAAGATGCATGATGATATACTTCAATTCCTCAGACTATGACTTAATTTAGAGATAAAGAAAGAAGTTTATAGAATTAAGTGGCAATGCAGAGTTTAAAGGACCTATTCATATGACCCATTCAAGTGAAGAAACATTAATTAATCTTAAAATTCAGTTAATATGTAAATTATGTTGTAGTGCAACAAGAAACGTATAGCTAGCAATTACCCAAACCTTTGGGGATTTGTTAGAGATATTTATCAGATGGATGGCATAGCAGAAACAGTTGATCCAGAACACATTCAGAAACATTATCAGGTAAGACATGGTATAGTCACTAACAGACTGACTRATATTGTATGCTAGCAGAGTTAAGGATAACAGCTAATTAGTTGCCCATCATGATGACTGGCCAAATAAGTTTTACCTCAGTCATATTTAACTCATTTCTGGCTCACTCTTTCTGACCAAAATGCCCAACAAAGCGAATATTTGACTGGACAAGTTCCAATTTTGAGCAGAGATTGTCCAATGACTGGCAGTTAYTTTCATCCATGACTTGTTGGRTTAAATGCAATTGATGTTCAGAAGTTCAAAGTAGGCTAGGGAGGGAGAGAAGGAGGGAGGAAGGGAGAGAGAGGCAGAGAGGGAGAGGGAGAGAGAGAGGGAGAGAGAGAGGGAGGGAATTGAGGTGAGGGTGAGGGGTACCCAGTGGATGCTTTCACTTTGAGCATAGTATAGCATAATGTCTTGCTATTTAAATCTCTTATCTTGYGAGTAAGATCATTTAAAGGTTACATTGGCACATATCAATGATGTAWCTTTCGAATTGACAATACCTATTATGACCAAATTCAAAAAGCCAGACATAAGCAAACTATAGTGGGAATACCAGGGGCTTTTTATTTGGATTATATCATACTTGACACAGTTTTCTTTGTTATTCATAGAGTTTGATATCCCATATTGCCCTGCTCATTAGTCAGTAATGCTCCTCTGATGCCAAATTCCCCCTCCCCCACCCCACCCTTTCCTCCTTGCTTTGATTCTGGATCCTTCCCTGCATACCCTAAATATTTAATATCATCAGCTGTTGCATTCTGGGAATCAAATAAACTGTGGCTCTTGTTAATTGCTTAAATAAACACTTAGAACAATTTGTGATTTAGCGCTATTAATATATAACTTATTRTTAATCTATTTTAATGGTTCACAAATTATAACATCAGTTTATACATTGTTGTTGTATATAGATGAGTCATAGAAGGATCAATCCCTATGGTATTGTAGCCATTGGACCTGATGATATTGACTTTACTGCACTACATGACCGTCACATGAAGTGAACCTGGTCAAGACGACCTGCCCAAGTCATCAGACATGGCAGTGGTCTATCCATGTTGATGCTAAAGGACACAATACCTTGTTGAAAACATGTATTTATGTAAAAAGAAACCGAGGAAGTGAACATAATTAATTGAAATGTTTTCATCTTATTTAACGACTGTATTTCAACTAACTCAACCCCAAAATTTCCCTTTATAGAAACAAATGGGAGACTTGGGTGACTGTGTCGCTCTAAGACTGAGCAAAGCATTTGGTTAGATAGGAATCGGAAGGTTTACTATGACTTGCTAAAAGAAAAAATATTTTATGTATGTTATTTTCAACAAAAAGAAGAAAAAAAAAGAAAAGAAAAAAAAAAAGAAGAAGAAAAGTTAAGAAAGTAAGGATTAAAAGCTTGAGTAGGTATTATTTCCCGAAAAATCGGGAATTCTCGCCCCCTTCGATTTTCATACCGCGACGGAAAAGGACTGGGTAGCTGCTGGACTGGGTACTAAATAATTATGTGACGTCGACCCGGTATCTCATTCTCTCATTCAACAGTGAAAGAAAACTAAAGGAAGTCTTATTATTCCTCAACCTTTGAACATGTTTTGCACGAGTCATCTTGCATTGCTAGTACGAACCAAACAGGTACAATACAATACAATACAATATCTTTATTTCAATTTAAAAGGGAACTCAATAACAAACAATAGCTTTTTAGCTCTTAGAAGAGTTGATTTATGTTTGTGCGTATCAATCACTTCAATACAACAGCATTTTCCAGTACAACACTGAATAACCAAAAGTCTTATCTTAATTATGACGTTTACACTTTAAAAGTCATAAACCATGCACTTACACACGTTTTACTTAAAATACTACAGCAAATAAGTTTACTAGATGCAAGATTTTCCAGTACTACACTGAATAACCAAAAGTCTTCTCTTAATTATGACGTTTACACTTTAAAAGTTATAAACCACTTACACACGTTTTTCTACTTAAAATACTATAGCAAATAAGTTTACTAGATGCAAGATTTTTGGACCTCAAACTGAGATTTTTCATTTCACTCCTCATCTTTCGGGGGCTTCACAACTTCGATTTCTCTCTCAGTTGGTTCAGGCAGTTGTTTCCTGGTTGCTTCGATGTGAAGGTGTCCATCCTTGTCCAGATTAGACTTGATAGAATCCATGTCTACATCTTTGGGAAGCACGAAATGGCGATGAAGTTGGCGGGAAACGAAAACACCTTCCTCCTCAGATTTGGTATTCTTTGAAGCGTTTACCATTAGTTCGTTGTTGAAGACTTTAACTTTGACTTCTTCAGGGGAAAAGCTGCTCAAATCCAGGTTGACAGAGAATTTTTTGTCATCCATCTGAGCTACTGGACCGGCTTCAGCTTTCTTTTCCTTTGGCTTTTTGTAGGCCTCGATGTAAAGAACTCCATCAGGAGAAAAACGAGAAGAAACAGATGAAGGATCCACGTCCTCTGGCAGAGGATAGGCTTGGTGGAACTCGCTAGACTCGAAGCCAAATCGTCCTTGTGAGTGATGCTTTCCTTGAACCTTTACTTTCCCATCTTCGACCTTGAGGGTAATTTCGTTTGGTTCATAATTGTGCACATCCAAATTTGCTAAAAGCACCTTATCTTTTTCTTGCTTAAAGTCTGAATAACGGGTCCAGCCAAGAAATGGGTGACCAAAAGCTCCAAGTGTGGCCAAGACAAGCTTGTCACCTCGATACATTTTCTTGAGTTGAATAAACTTGAATGAATTTACGTGTCCTTGCCAAGTTTTTGCGCGATACAACTAAACCTCAGCTGTTTTATTTGTGAGCATCTCTGGCTGCTGTTGGCTTATATAGCTTAGCTGCAGACTTTCTAGAAACTTCTAAACATGAGTATTTATTTTTATCGACATTTGAATATTGTGTAATATCTTTTTTTAGCGAAATTTGTATGGAAGGATCGAGCWCCTTCTAGACCCGGGCTCTAGAAAGTTCCATCGATCGAATTTTCTAGCCGTGCTCTAGCATGTTCTACTTTTCTCGATTTCCGCCTCTGGGTAATCTATGATTCTTTAGAACATATCTTTCTTTCGAATAAAAACTATGTTCCAACGACCATGAACATGAATTTACAGTGGAAGGAAGCCGAATGATTTTTTCCCAAAAAATAAACACGATTCCATAGTTCCAATGAAATACTTGGGCTTCCTGTGGACAGGCCAAGATGGCGCTTTGCATGCACGAAGGTGAAGCTCAGTGGAAAACATTTTTACTGTAAAGCTTTTTAGTTTCCCATATATCTACATAAGGTAATCATTGATCTAGCTATTTTCTTTGGCTTCATAAAAGTCTAGAGCTCTATAGAAAATTTCGAATGTTGTAGAAAATTCTAGAAGGTACTAGTCTTTCTCGATCGAAGTTACATGTAAATAATGTCACTTGATCGAAGTCAAACATGCTGAAAAGCACGTTCACTGATGGTTCTAGAATCTTAGCTCCTAAGGTATATAAATGGGGAGCTGCGAATGATCTTCCGATCAATTCAACTGAAAGCTATAGCTGAGACATAAAAAGGAACCAAACAATATCTTGAATCAGTTCACCATGGATCTTGCAGACAAGCTTCTCGTAGCGACATTGGGATCTTTTGTTGATCCTTTCTTTGGCTGGACTTACTATTCGGACCACAGAAAGGACAAAGACAAGGTGGCCCTTGCTGCTGTTGGTGTGCAGAATTTCGATCCTAACGAAATCTCACTAAAAGTAGAAGATGGAAAAGTGATGGTAGATGGAGTCCATCGCTCTCAAGGACAGTTTGGCTACGAGACCAGTGAGCTCCACCAAGCCTACCCTCTGCCAGAGGACGTGGATCCTTCATCTGTTTCTTCTCGTTTTTCTCCTGATGGAGTTCTTTACATCGAGGCCTACAAAAAGCCAAAGGAAAAGAAAGCTGAAGCCGGTCCAGTGGCTCAGATGGATGACAAGAAATTCTCTGTTAACCTGGATGTGAGCAAGTTTTCTCCTGAAGAAGTAAAAGTCAAGGTTATGAACAATGAATTGATGATCACTGCCAGCCACGAGTCAGAAAAAGAGGGCAGTTATGCTTCCAGAAAGGTTCATCGCCATTTCGTGCTTCCCAAAGATGTGGACATGGATTCTATCGTGTCTAATCTGGACAAGGATGGACACCTTCACATCGAAGCAACCAGGAAACAACTGCCTGAACCAACTGAGAGAGAGGTCCAAATCACGAAGGCTAAGGAGTAAACCAAGGGCCTTCATGGTTTACAAGACACTTGGAACAAACCGGTATGCGGATTAACGGAGAATCTTTTCGAACATGAAACATTAGATTAGATTAGGATAGATTTGCTTTGTTACAGTTTTAAAGGACCAGTTCCTAATGGTTTTGCATGTATCTAAGTAAACAGTCACGTGTTAGTATCATTGTAATCAATCGTCGTGGTCAGTTTAAAACGTTCTTGCACCGATATTTCGATTTAGAGCTAGATTTAGAGCTAGTTAAGAGATCTGAACTTATTGCAAGAACATCAGTAGATTTGTAACGCAACTCGTTTCAGTTTTTCGGCTTTATAGTGAGCTGCAAATGCATAAAGTTTGGAAGCGTGACTCGTATAACGTAAGAATAAAAGTTTTTTGCTTATCATTATTTTCGTGTTATTGTCATTAATGTCTTAAATAAAAATTATTACACATTTAGGTTGGATTTCGATATCAGTTTGAAAGCCGTGAATAAAGACCAAATCAGTGAAGTGACAAAATATCACTTCACCGTACTAAACTGTGCGKTTTTTTTTATCGCGGTATTAACCCTAAATGTCACGTAATAAACAAACTATCACATGCAAAGAGCCTGGTATCTTTTTTATTCACTCGTTTCCCATATATCGCTCACGGCACACAGGCTCACTCGTTCGCGATAAGATATGGAAACTCGTGTACAAAAAACGATATCAAATTCAATGCTAAATTTCATAATGAACGTTCCATCGTACTCTTGAGACTCCGTTCGCCTTACTATATGACTGTTCGCTCTATTGACAATGCTTCTTCGGTTCAATGAATATTTCTTCGCGGTTAATGAACAGCAAAAGATGTAGTTAAACTTAATTTTTGTAAAGATGGACGTACATATTCAATTTTTCAATCTAGTTGAGAATTTTTCTAAAGCCCCGTTTACACTAGCGATTTTTGCGGCGATTATTTTGCGATTTTGTCCATAATAAACAATGGTAAAGAATTCACTTGCAAATTTTTGTTTCAGGATAACAAGATTAATTTTCTTAGACGAATGTCTCATTTATAAAGTTTTCTTTGTGTAGTTCTGGTTATTTGACTTTGACAAATGTTTCCATATCACATTTGGAATGTAGTTTTACTTTCAACAGTTGTGCAGAAAAAAAGACCTTATATATGGCGGTTTTTCACTAAGGGAGAATAACAGTTTTCTAGCATAAATAACCGATGTCATCTGAGAGATATCTTGAATAAAATAATTTTGGAATTATTTTTGAACAAATATCACCAGAGTTATGAAAGGCCAAAGTTAATATCTGTCTCATGATAAGCAGGTTTTTCAGTCTTACAGGGTAGAAATATTGACTTTAAAGATTCTTTCTCTGTTGCCTTTGTACGATATGAACGCTATTTTGTTCCGACCATCATCATGGTCCGCCCATGCCTACGTACACGCATAAGACTGTTTCATTCTTCACAAACACTGGTTAAGTAAGCTAAACCCCAATAATTGAATGAAAAATTAAGATTATGAATTTATTAAACAACATTAGTACTGTATGTACAAAGAATAAGGAAATTCATTGTTTCGCAGTTCAGTCAAGTCCTTTTACGAACAAACATGGTGTTCTATTTTTACTTGTCAAGATTGTCAATAATAATCACTAAAAATATCTATCAACGGCGTATCTGCTGCTAGGTCCTTCTAACATCAAGAAGTCGACCTCCTCTTCTGTTAGCCCTGACCTTACGCCAAGAAGATCACCGTTCTCGGCTATAGATCATCAGCGTCGTTGTCATCACTGTCAGAAGACACCCAGTAAGTCTCAATTGTTGGTCTACTATTGTCTCCATCACCATGTGTCCCAGCATTGTGATCAACGTCGTTGTCATCGCTGTCAGAAGACACCCAGTAAGTCTCAATTGTTGGTCTACCATTCTCTCCATCACCATGTGTCCCTATATTGTGATCAGCGTCGTTGTCATCGCTGTCAGAAGACACCCAGTAAGTCTCAATTGTTGGTCCACTATTGTCATTATTATCACGTGTCCCTGCATTGTGATCACCGTCGCTGTCATCGCTGCCGTTAGTCATCCAATCCTTCTGGGCCACTTGTCGAGTTTTATCTTCATTGTCGTTTGGGTTTTCCTCCTCAATCATCAGGCTGTAGATCAACTGTAGAACAGTTTCTTGGCTGATAGTTGCCATTAATGCTATATGACCACATTCAATATGTCGTCTGCTCCAGAATTCAAGCATTTCTTGTGCTCGATCAAATATGTGTTTCATTCGGTTGACAGCGTCATCGAGAGTGATCCACTTGAAGTGCAGATCACGAGCCATGAACCGAAGCTCATCACAAGGCGTTAGTGGTTTGATGAACAAATCATCATTAAGCTGGACTCTACGTCGCTTTGGGCGTTGCAGGGGAGGAGGTGGTGGAAATACTTCACTTACATCACTATCACTGTCTTGGTCATCAATAATTACTTGTTGAATGTCAGCTTTACGTTTACATGAAGTAGATACGTTGTTAGAACAACTAGCAACTTGATTATAGTGGCTGAGCCTTTGTGACGGTCTGACCGCAGTCTTCTTTTGTCGTATTTCATTGTCTTTATTAACACTGCTGTTGGCAGCAATGTTGTTTTGTATACTTGGATCGCACGATGGCTGATGATTCGTCATATCTGCACGAACAGAACGAATAAGGACCATGAATGGTGGTTCAGTCTGTTGTTGTCCAGTTGTCTGTACGACAGGCAAGGCTGAGGTATTTCTCTCAGTTGCGGCGATGGATTCCTTGGTTTCACTGTCTGATTGCTGATGGAGATTAGAGGCTGAGATCTGTATGYTTGCTGGTCCAGTAACAGGACAGCTCGCAACACGAATCAATGGTGGTATTCCAGATGACATCATAGTCTCATAGTCTGGTAACTGCTCACTGTCTGATTCACTAGTGGTATTCTCTGATGACTGAATTCTTGAAGCGTATCCCTCAGCCTCTATATCCCTCCACACATCACTATCACTATCTTCAATGTCACCCCCTTCACTACCATTGCTGCTGTTGCTCCAGTCACCCCATCCACTATTGATGCTGCTGGTGTCACTCCAGAATTCCCTGTCAATGTCACTATCGTTGTCTAGAAGGTGTTCCAACATCATGACATAAGGATCAGCAGATTCAACACTAACTGTGATGTGTTGAGTCTCAGGCTGATAATATAGTTCATCTACACTGCTGAGTGGTAAAACAGGGATCTCTCGTACACGTACAGGATGGTTAGAACCTTGATCATCTTCGTGTGGGTGTGGTAGAATATTAGTCTCAGGCTGATAATATAGTTCATCTACACTGCTGAGTGGTAAAACAGGGATCTCTCGTACACGTACAGGATGGTTAGAACCTTGATCAKCTTCGTGTGGGTGTGGTAGAATATTAGTCTCAGGCTGATAATATAGTTCATCTACACTGCTGAGTGGTAAAACAGGGATCTCTCGTACACGTACAGGATGGTTAGAACCTTGATCATCTTCGTGTGGGTGTGGTAGAATATTAGGGTTACCTGAAGTCTCTAGTGCAAGGTACTCTGGATCAGAGAAGACTGCAAGTGATCGCTCAAACTCTGCTTCTATCATCTCCAGGAATTGTTGACGCATCTCTTCAATGCTGTCCATTGCTAGTCTTTCTTGGGCATCCAGTGATGGATGATAGTCACTCATTATGATATCAGTCAATTCAATCGCTTTCTTATAATGATTTGTATTTTCTCTTTAGCGCACGGAACGAGCTTGTTCTCGGTTCAGTGTCAAAAGAAATATGAAGGCAAATAAACAAATCCTGATGCTAAGTAACGGGGAGCGCGCGYATTTATGTCATAATGCTTATCGTGATCAGTGATGGAGTGCGCGCGCTACAAATCAATCGATAATCGATTAGATCGTGCTTTAAAATACATTGAATGTAGTTTACTATGAAGGAAAAAATCAATCGATAATCGATTAGAGCGCGCTTAAAATACATTGAAATACTTTTACTACGGAGGGCAAAATCAATCGATAATCGATTAGTGCGCGCAAAGTTTTCCCCATACATGGAAATGGGTCTAAGAAGTGCATGATATCGCCTTAATTAAAATGGAGCAAGAGCTCTAAAGGATTCCGATTTCAAGCCCGGCAGGAATAAGAGGACACAGTGTCCTGCAGTCTGACCACAGACTACTGGGCAAGCATAAATTACTCGGCAGTGTTTTTAGTTTTTATCTAAAGATATTACAGCGCTTTTTGGAAGTGGCCAATATCAGATACAAGGGGCTGAGATATTTTATTTGTGCGCGGAGACTGAAGAATGTTTTGAACAAGGAAAGATCTAAAGATATTTTCATCATCATGGGAGATTTCAACGCGAAAATAGGAGCTGATAACACCGGCTATGAGCTAGGCTGTTGTTCCAAGACTTTTCAAAGCATCTAGGTAAACAAATTGATTACACTATGGCGGATTTTAGATGGAAAAAAAATATTTATAAGGTCTATATTTATCCGAGTATCTTAAGATATTTTTTTCAAAAACAGAGTTGGGTAATTATGAATTTTAGGTCACCCATCCAAGTACTAATCTCACTCAAACTTGCTTGACTCAGTGTCTTGTAAGCCCAAGTTTTTTTCACTGGGCCACGATTTCAGGAAATTAACACAACAATAGCCATGGAAACAATGCACCAGATAGACTAGATTATTTTCCACTTCGAATCATCGTGCCAGTGCGTGGCAGAGTACAAGGGATTAGCTGTAGATATGGTCTGGGGGCTGGCTAGTCTCTCCCCTGATGCTTCGGCTAGAACACTATCCTGCGTAATCCGTACACCCAAGGGCAGAGGGACTTAATTGCCGTCATGTCCGAAGTCCATACGATGACCCAGCGGATGTCTCGGGGTATGGCATGAAGGCACTAATTTTTTGTCCTTTTCTGTATCTTGGAAATTAATAATTAAAAGTGGTGGACGTGGGTTCGATTCCCACCGTATTGGAGGGTTTTTTTTCTTTTTTTTCTTTGTTTTTTTCTTTTTCTAAGTTTTATCTAGCCTTAGATTTTTTATGTTTATTTATTTCTTTTGTTTCTTTTCTAAAGGTTTATCAGGCGATGCACGAGAAATCCTCGGCCTCTCCTATTTGAACCATCCTTTAGGATACATCTGAAACTCCAAATTTTGAACCTTGAAGGCATTTCTACACGTTATTCAGCGCAGTATAGGTACGTCAATGAGTTCGCCTCGTATTTTGGTTCTTGGTTATTCATTTGTACGGCGCTTACATCAGCTTGTGTTACGTATTGATGCTTACATTGATGAGAATTTTAGCCTATCTGAACCAGTCATTTTGCAGTGCCTCGAGACACGGGGACGTACAATTAAATGGGGATGTACTCTTAAATCGGCCCGCCCCAGACAACCCACAAGATCTTCCACCATCCGACACAACTCTCTATCTCAACTGCCACAAGCCTAGCAAGTCTAAGATACAAGGAGCGATAGTGTCTTTAAAGAATGGTAAGGCAGCAGGATCAGATGGTGTTCCGGCGAAGGCAATGAAGGTTGATATGGAGACATCAGTAGACATGCCCAATCGGCTAAGTTGCCTGGATATGGGAGGAGAAAAAGCATTCCAGGGGAGTGGAGCGAGGACGTTATTGTAAAAGCTCCCGAGAAAGGGATCTGGGAGATTGTAACACTCACAGAGGCATCAGAGTACTGTTGTTGCGCTGCGAGTTTTTAAATACCGGACCTATTTTATGTTATTTATTGCGGGCGACAATAGGAGCACGCAAGCATAATCTTGACGAGAAAACGCCAAGGGGCCTGGGCCCGCGGAATACGAGAGACTCTGACCTTTTCTGAGTTTTCAACTTTCATCTACCCTGGGTGCCAGAGGCCGTGTGGGGCACCCAGGGTAACTTTCATCTGGAATGTCAAGAATCCGAGGAATGCAGACTTACAAGATTAGGCCAGTGCTCAAACAGGTTTTCACGCGTACGTGAGGGAATTCGATCCGCAGGGATAACATTCCTTTGCAGGCCAACCAAATCACTAAATACTCACTTGCATATATTAATAGCTACTCAAGCCTCTCAAATAAATTAAGAATATCTTCCACTAATGTTCTACGCCAGCACTTCCCAACCTGAGGTTGCCCCTAGTATATTTTTTAATGTATTTCGCGTTTTAGAATATTCCGCCATTCCGCGTTTTAGAATATTYCACCATTCCGCGTTTTAGAAGGTTCCGCCATTCCACGCTTTAGAATATTYCACCATTCCACGTTTTAGAATATTMCRCCATTCCGCGTTTTAGAATGTTCCGCCATTCCGCGCTTTAGAATGTTCCGCCATTCCGCGCTTTAGAATATTCCACCATTCCGCGCTTTAGAATATTCCACCATTCCACGCTTTAGAATATTCCACCATTCCACGCTTTAGAATATTACGCCATTCCACGCTTTAGAATGTTCCGCCATTCCACTGTTCCCGTTGTAGGGTCGCCCCCAGATCACGAGATTGAAATCGAAGCTGATGTTTATTTACGGTCAACCGTACCAAAGTGGCTACTAGCTAAAGCGTCCTCTATTATTGCCGTGTTCACTTGTGCTGGGTCCTTGATTCCAACATACTCCTGCATGAGCAGGGCTGGGACAATCTAATTTGCAGATGAGTTTATCGTAAAGCAGGGTAAGTATGGGAAGGTAAACGAAGAGGAATATGTTAATCCGCATGAGTCGTGTTATTCTTGATATCGGGCTTCTCATGTCTTGTTCCTTGGTTGAATATACATATTACATATACATATTGCTGAACTATATTAATCATTCACCTCTACTTTTCATACACGAATTTATTTGACTTTTGTTTTTTTCCTTTATCTTTTTTGTTGTCTGTACCAACACAAGGTTATCTTGAATTACAGTTGGCATCGATGATCTCATCATGATATACGTGTTTTTCAAACTTTTCATCATTATTACATTCTTTTATCATTGATTAAAAAAAACATTGTAAGACTTTTTTTACTTGATCGTGGATACGCGAAGCCGAGAAACGAGTTATTGTCGCTCGCTCACTAAGATGTTAGCAGATCGATAATTTAAAAATATTCAATAATCGTCTTACGTGATCTGCTTACAAACGTTACACGAAACCTAGCACTCACACACAGCTTAGGTGACTGCCTACTTTAGGAAAAAATAATAAACCTTTTTCAAAACTTCAATTTCCGAGTTGAAATTTAATGCTGATTCGAAATCTGGAAAGAAAAATTGGGTGTCCCGAGGAGATCCCGAGCTTGTTTTCGAAATTTAATGGAAGCATTCGCGCGACGGCTTTTGGAGAAAAAATTACGCCTGCACCGGAAGTGATAAGGAAAAAATTAAGATTCATAAGATAATAGTTATTAGTTATATTGGCAGACTCTATGATTGCACGAATGAAGGCTAATCAATCGTTCTACAATTATATACGTGGATATTTTCGACAAAAGGACAAAGGGATACATTAATTTGTCATATTTTGTAGTTTCGGTGCTCTTAAAAAATCTCATAAAGTCGAACAAATTTCCCTACAAAAATCTATTTTTTTCATGTGTTAGAATATTTACCTTTTTCTAAAATGTTGATATAACCTAGATCTTTAGGAGTTTATTCAAAAAAGCTCCGTGCAAAATTTGAGGGTCATCAATCTTTTGTCGAGGAACGACTTTAGACTTCAGCTTGGACGCTAAGGCGGAAGAGCACTAATGAATGAAATCAGTAGATCTAAGCCTAGACCCTATCCCCCTGAATTTTGTGACCCTTGGTTTGGCGCGCTTTTTCTATTTTAGGTAAATAGTATTTATCTAATTTACATTAATTTATTCAACTATTCAACACGTCATTTTGCTGACTTCTTCTCTACATATTTTAGATTGAATCTCAAGACCTCAGCCTCGTCATTCAGTTCACATAATGGAACGAGTCATTTTACTTTATTTTGCTGCTGTTACACTGGTTTGTGGTCGACCAGACTTAGACAATCCAACTTCATCTATGTCGACGAGAAGTAATGATAATAAATCTCCAACACCCAAACGGGAAACCCCCGATAAGGTGACCCTCCAACCTGATATTCCTACCACATTTCCTGTAAAATCTGGTTGTTTCTCATCGGGAAAGTGGTATCCACCCGGTTCGGAGATTTCTCGTGGTTTTGATGGAAAGTCTTGGTGTTACGGTACCTACTGTGACCAATTTGGTCAAGTCTTGGTATGGGATAACTTCCATTGCAGTACAACAACAACCTACTTCCCAACAACAACACCCACACCCACAACAGCCGCACCCACAACAACCATACCCACTACTCCTCCAGGGTGTTATTATAATGGTAGATGGTTCCCTCCTGGCAGCGAGATATCCCGTGGCTCAACGTATGGGTGGTGCTATGGGACGTATTGTGATGCCCAGGGCAGTATTGTCSCATGGGATGATTGGAGCTGTAGTACAACAGCTCGACCAACTACGATCCCCTCAACACCGTCCTACCCTACCACAGAACCTCCGCGTGGTTGTAACTTCCAAGGGCGGTCTTATAATTTGGGAAGCGAGATTTCCCAGTATACTGGGAATAGTGGTGAAAGATGTCACGGAAGAAGATGTAGCGATGATGGGCAGATCATCACATGGCTTGGTTTTAATTGCCAGTCTGGAAGTAAGCAAAGAGATGGTTGCTGGTACAGAGGCCATTTATATCGTCATGGCATGGACATTTTCCGCAAACAGCCCTCACTAGTAAGGTGCTTCAAAGGAAGCTGTGAAAAGAATGCCGCCCTCATAAAGTGGAAACCACTCAGYTGTAAAGAAGAAAGGCCGTTTTTGGCAGGACAGCGGCACATGTGCTCGTATCGTGGTAAGTGGTACCCAAGAGGAAGCATCATCTACAGCAGGTCCCTGTACAAAACTCATGGATTTGGGTGGTGCGTGGGGGCCAAGTGTGGAAGGAACAGGAGAATCACAACATGGGGACCACTCTGGCTCCCTGGGTATTGCTAAACACGGTTATCACGTTATTGATGGTTTTCAACCATTCCCAAGAGAATTAAATAGCAAAAGACACGGCGGCCATGTTGGAGGATGTAACAAAAGAATTCATTGACAATTCTTTTGTTAAGTTCCTCCAACATGGCCGCCTCGAAAACCATCAATAATGAGCATTTTTCGTATGAGTGTGACTTCGAAGAACCGAGCATTATCTTGCATAACTGCGTAAGTAACTCTTGCACTTCCGCGGTCCGTTTTCATAGTCATACCAAATATGTTCAGTTTAATACCTGTAATCAAAGCTTGTATGTAATCGATGTATTGCTAGTCATACTCTAGAGAATGCAATAACAAAAGACATGGCGGCCATGTTGGCTGATACAACACGGGGCTAACGGTGAATTTTCTGTTATATTCAAGCAAGATGGCGGCTATGAAAACCAACAAAATAATATGAAACTAAAACTCCTTTATAAATGAAAACATTGGTTTCTGAAAGCATTCATGTCGCTGACACATGAAGGCGTAGATTTTTCTATCACATACAATCATAAGCCTTCCCTGGGTTACAGAGGTTTTATTTCGCTTTCTGTGGTTGTAACAAGCGGCTTCACGTCAAAACAGCAAACGCTAGGGCGAGAATAAATAACCTCTGGATCACTAAGAATTTTAACGTTAATTTTAATGCAACAGTGTCATATAACATTTATTTTAGTTTTTGAAAAAGGTAACAATTTTCCAATAAAACTGGGATATTTTGCTTTCGCTTTTTCTGCTTTTGCTTTTTGTAAATACTACATATCGTCAGTAGTTTCTTCTTTATCTTGGAACACCAATGTTCATGCCACATGAGATTCTCGTGACGACGAGGTTCGGCTTACTTGAACTCGCTTTTTGATCCTTGCATACTCCGAAGTACTTCAACTGCCTCCCTCCCCACTCCCCCCCCCCCCCCCCCCCCCCCTCCCCTAACCTGATAAACTCCTTATCCTGCCCTTGCCCTTATATATTAGTTCGATCAAATAGTCCCAAAGGGCGGAGCACTCCATGATCTGTGCACACTGAATAATATAAATATAGAAGTTGTTGTCCTCTAGCCTAGATCTACCACCTAGTATCGCGGTACTTTTATCCATAAATCGTAAACAAAGCCCAAAACAGAAAACTGAACTTTCCATATCGATGGTAACTTGTCAAGTTCCACTTTTATTGATGAACTGAACATTATTTGATGAATCGTCCGCCGCACTGTACGGCCATCTTTAATTACGCTATCTAATGCGGGCAAACGTTGAAAATTTATAAAGCTGATATAGTGGCGGTGTTAGGTTTTCAAATGATTTTAATTCAAACAACAGAATACAAGATGGCCGCCGTATCGACAAAAAGGTCTATTGTGACATTTAGGTCAAGAGAGCGAAGACCTCCCTGCTTAGTAGTTCATTACCAGTGTCGTGTTTCACTGCCAGTAAAATTATTATATCGAAACGGCCATTTGTAATTCCACAATTCCTACTGATAATAATGGTTGAATTACGCGTTTTCCAGCAACACCATCGCGGTTGGTTTATAGCAAGTCGGAATCCTGAGTATGGTACCACAGGGCTAAATAAAACTTGACCCGTGGGGGGATGGGCAAACAAGCAATTGCCTCGTCCATGTTACTGTTATTTCTTAGTAACTGTGATCTTATAACAGATCGACAAAGATGGGTCAAGTCTCGGACGTCATTCGAAAGCTTGAGCAACCAAGTTAATACATCTACTGGGAGAGACGAAAACAACGACACTCCACTGGATAAGAGACCAATGTTGGTGCGTACCTCTGCATCGTAGAGAATCCACACTATTGACCACAGTTGATTTTCTGCAGCAGTTACAATAGCAGTTTTGCCGAAGATGGTTTCTATACTGGGATCTGCTCCATAAGCTAAAACAATCTGCACACATTCCACATCCTTTGCCACGTGTAAGCAAGTTCTACCATTTCGATCTTGAAAATTGACATCAGCACCAAAGCGACAGAGAATTTCGGTGGCTGCAATGCGATCTTTCTTTAACTGTATATGCTGAGCATAAACCAGTGGTGCTGCTCCCCAGATACTCCCAAGTCCCACATCAGCACCTTCCTTACACAGTTTTTCCATCACGTCAAGGCGTCCATTGAGCGYTGCCATGGACAATGGAGTTTTGCCCATACAGTCTTGCGCGTTGATGCTCGCTCCATGAGCCAAGAGTATGTCTACGCATGCGCTAGATCTAGCAAAATGTAAAGGCACATGACAAGGAATGGAGCAGAAGTTCGAAAAACAAGAAGTGGATACATGATTTGAATAGTAAATACTGCAGACGCACTCGGGGTAATTGGTATCGGCGCCAATAGAGCAAAGCCAGTTTATAACCTCCAGTTTATCATTCTCCACCGCCGCTCGAAGTGGTGAGACGCGGTAGTCTGGGTACCAATCTCTCAGCTTTCCAAGGCCATTAATATCTGAAACTTGTAAAAGAAAAACACATTTATACGTACAAAATATATATACTGCAGGATTACCCGGAACAAAGTTAGAATAAACATTGACACGCTTACGTATGCTCAGGAAATCCCAAATAAGGATGCCGGACAGACCAGGTTATTTCGACAGCCGTATTCAAAAATTCATTATTTCCCCATTAGTGATAAGAATGCTATTATTCATTTATTCTGAAGCCAAATGAAATGGGCCAAATTGGTTTTGATTGCCAAATCGTAGAGTGCAAGCAGCTAAGTTCAGTTCTACGTAGACATTGTTCAACTGACTTGTACGAGATTTCTACACTTACTCCCATCACATTAGTGTTGACCGAGCATTAAAAACAATTTGTGGATCAGTTCATTTTACTTATGTCCAGAAATGTAGACAAAAAACTCGAGATTTAGACGAAAACTGATGTTGATACAGCTGTAACTATGCTTGCAATATAATCAATATTCGATCGTTAATTATTGATGCCACCCTGGTCTCTCGATTACATCATCACAGCTATTCAATTAAGGAAATTAAGTAGTTGTTAGCGTTCGATGAATTAAATTGAAGGATGAAGTAAACTTCAAAAAATAAACATTTCCCCCTGACATTTCGCAAATCTTCCTATTTTATTTTGAAATAGAAAAAAATAGACAGATATGCGAGTTGATTCCCGTGCGTAAGGCTGACGCCGTGTACACCTTACTTGTCTTGTAATGACCATTACATTAGCAGGCGCGGGTGAAAAAGAGAAATTTAAAAGAATATACACTGCAGGAAATACAGACGTAATCGGCTGATGGAAGAGTGAAACATAATAAAGCCCTCCCTCGAAGTTCATGTTACTACAAACAAATTGCTAGAATTTGAAATCCAAGTGTTTAGTATCGAGGTATTAATGATGGCCATGATATTTATTTTGGAAGCCAAATACTGAATTCAAACATCTATTGTTTTTAGAGCATTCTACGTTAGTTTGGTTCTTTGATCAGTTGGAAGAGATGGTATTGATGGCCTAAATGGTGCTTTGATTGAAGAGCCTTGTCAATCAGCAACGTAACGTATTCAGTACTGACAACCATATACAAACAGCACTCAAGGCTACACCAAGTATCGCATAGAAAAAACAAATGACGTCTGATTTTCACTTAGATATACATATATATATATTTCTCTGATCTGCGGGAAGAACCGAAAACAATCTCGATTCTTAGATGTAAACCAGCGCTTTATAGTGTGTGTTCCCTACTGGTATGTCAAAAAGATGGCATGTTAATAACGAGTAAATATTTACGAAAGTGATTCATTTTGAGCGTAGAGTATTTAATAGGCTTTATTCATTGACTTACGCGAACGAATTTCCATATCTATCATTTTTTGTATATTTTAAATCAGCCAGTGCATTGGGTCAAAAAGAAAAACTCTTTTTATTCGATGGTAAATAAATAAATACTTGAGGTAGAAAACAAAGGATACCTTGCTTCAATTAATCAAGTTCAATCCAAGGGAATTTTCTACTCATTTGAAATCTTGACATAAAGTATTAAACGTTGATTGATTGTTTGTCAGAAAAAAATATTCAACGCGATCGAGTGCGTTATGAAAGATATTTTTTGATATATAAAACAAATGCTTAGAATAACGATTGGTGAGAGGTAGGAGTATAATACTTCCCGTATTTCAGTCACATCTATATATTGGACTGTCATGACCTAAGACCAAACCAAATACAATACCAGAAGCACTGGAATGGATTCTTTGATCCAAGCTATTATATAGCCATTATTTAGCAACTGATTAAAGATATCAATGGTCTGATATTCTGAAAGCATTGACTATGTCGCTCTTACCATATTTCCTCAAAGACATAAGGCTTTTAAGAGAGCCAAAAAATGCGGCTTGAACAAAAGCATCTCGTAAATCTTGGTCTGAGAAGATCATGTCGTCGTTAGCTCTGTTGTTTTCGACTTCGGCGTTTGATTCTAAAGAAATTAAGACTGAGTTGACTTTGGCAACATCATCAATGGCTACTGCATCTAGTAGTACTTCCATCTTGTCTTCTTTCCGACAAACCTTCACAGTATAACCAACAGAGAACTGCAATGACTGCGATTTTACTTAGCAAGTAAAGCGCGCTCAAGGATTATCAATGGATTTGACGTACCTATCGTATCGACCTGTGATACATTGACTGGGCGTTGACCAATCAGGCGTCGCATCTTTTGTTTTTGGATTTTCCCTACACTACAAACATATGTTTATGCAAATTAGCACAAGGCTCTCCTGGATAATAGTTTTACTTCTTTATCTTTGTCTTAATGACATTTTAAATTCTTTAACACAAAAGTCGTGGTTCTGTAATGACCAATAAATTTTAATCCAAACAAAGCATTCGTGCTACTTAGTTTATGTTATTATTGACCATTATTATGATTGACGCATATAGTGACTGTTATAAATAACGTGCATGGTAATATAATAAAGTAGGCATTTCCACGATAGAAATACCATCAGTATGCATTTAAATAAAGTGGCTAAAAACTCGAAGTGTTCATTGTTGGAGTGTCCTTATCTTCAAGGGCCGAGTACTGAGGAATGTGACACGCGTCATCTGTCATGTTTGGATCAATCATTAAGACTGCAGGACTCAATTGATTATCAAATTAAGCCAATATAAGAAACATCTTTACTCGGTTCTGTTCGCTGTTGTATGTATTGTGAAAGTTTGTCGGAAAGAAAAGAAGATGGGAGTGCTACAAGCAATTTAAGTGCTGGGAGTGCTACAAGCAAAATCCGTACACGTTAAAGATGTAAGAATACGCGCGCAGTTTTTGAAGGTAGATTAATAATAAGCATTTGGTCTCCCACAACACAATACGTGGTTATTTTGAGGACTAATTAACTAATTAACAAAACTAACAAGTGTGACGCAGCTGTTTCGCGCTCTAGTGGCATACAAAACAAATCTTCCCATTGTTCTGATTGCCTATTGTTTTGTATTTTCTTGATGGCTGCTAATGAACCGGCATGATGCTGCAGCAACGCTAAAATAACACTTTTTGCCTTATTCCTAGTTAAGTAGGATCAAACAATACAAGTTCAGTGTGTAAAGCTGCTCCTCTCGAACCAGACAGACAGACACAGAGGGCCACAAAACCAAGACCAACCAATGAAGGGGAACAATCAATCAAATGTAATGAAGTGTAAAGTGTGAAACAACAACGTGACAAATGCCGCATATAAGCAAATTAGCGAACGAGTGAAATTAAACTAATATTTTTGAGAAAGGATATTTAATAACATTGTTGATATTGCAAACAAAACGTGAATTTGACAAGGTGGGTAGGTCCGCGTTCAGAGTAGACTTGCTCCAAATCTCGCTCGTTATTTTTTTCCGTTGGCGAGTCGTCGAATTCAAATTTCGGCACTTCGGGTTCCGACAGATTTCCGAAGTCAAGTCTACGTTCAGAGTCCACTGGGGTTTTTAAATCCAAAAAGCCAAGAAAAGAAAAAGAAAAAAAGGGAGCAAGTCAGCTTGAGTAGTAACTGAATTCTCATGATAACTCGCAGTATCCACCATCAGACCGAGGGGAGGGGGGTGGGGCAAAATTCGACTTTCAGTTGACTGGTGCCTAGTTTAGATGTGCTTGGTTACAGCAATGGGTATAAGTAATAAATAGTATTAAAAAATTATTATGCACTGGTAATCAAGCACAATGTCATTGCTTCATTAGGAACTGAATTTTGCATTCTTCTCTATTACATACATAGATACATAAACTTTACCATTAACGTGTCAGTCTCTTCTAGCCTTCAGTCTTCAATATTCTTATTATTTATATATATGACTTACATGCAATAATTTTTAATCGGTAATTAGAATCTTATATATATGTGTTGGTGTAAATATGTTTGTATGTGTGCGGCGGTGCGCGGAGGTTCTGGTCTATTTTGTCAATGTTATGATCGGGGTGGAACTGAGTTTCTGGGCGTTGCCGTGTATGCATGCATGTATATATGTCTGTATATATATACGTATATATTCCATTTCCTTATAGTAGTTATTTCGCTTTGTATGTACTGGGTAACCTGGTTTTTCGATTGCACGTTACGTCATCGCGGTCGTGTTGGTACCATTTAACAAAAGATTTCTCATTAGCATCCATTGTTAACGGTACCACAATGGCCGCCATGTTTTTGTCTTTTAACTCTCTTGGGAATGCTTGCAACCCATCAATAAAGTAATAAAGGTGTCTCTGATGAGAAGTTGACTAAAGGGCGTTCACTGTCAAGTGAAAAATAACCTGCAGTTTGTCTGTAGACAGTGTGAAGCAGTGTGAGGTGTTTTTGAGAGCAGGGAATTGGGGAGAGGAGGAGACAGTAGTCCGATCTTTTTTTTTACTTATTGTGTAATAAATATATTTTATGAGGGTGGGAGATGGACCTGATGGGAAAAAGTGATCTGGTTAAAACTAGACCAACCATACTGGTGCTTACGACACTAGTGCAGGGGGAATGCCAGAGAGAGAGAGAGAGACTTTGTAGGCTAAATAACCTGGGCTCCAAAAGATCTCTCTATTCAATAACTGGACTCATGTACCAACATATACAAATGYTGCATGCATTTCTCTCTCTATTCTTCAAAGTTTTTGCAGTAAAATATATTGTATCCAGTGTTTAATTAATCAAGGTACAAAGCATGAAACTGTAAAATAGCTTTAACATTGACAGAAAATGCCCACCCTCAACCCACGAGATTAAACAAAAAAATACTTTTTAAGCTGAAATTTTCATTTTATGTTGATTTTATTTGAATAAATTTATTAAACAATTATGCTTCTGTACAAGATTAAAACAATACTCGCTGTAATGCATTTCTAGACTGTACTGAACTTGTAATATTATAATGGAAACAAACCACATCACGACAATATTGGATAAGTACTAGGATAATAATACACTTTCATAGCTGATCAACAGGAACCTTCCACTTGGACCAGTTGCCATCAGGAGTATAGCCCCATGCTGAAACAGTAAACAAGAAAGTTCAGTAACATTTATTCATTAGTACAGCAAGAACATGGTTAATACTTGGTATAGTAAGTTCAGTCACTAGCAATCGGTCGCAGTGAATAACAAACATTACATGATGCGAGTTCTAAACTTTTCAGTCCTTCAATTCCTGGGCAGTGGTCACACTTGCAAAACTTAG